ACATTGCAAATACATGTACTTCCCTTGAAAACGGATGTTTACTTTTTGCCTATTCAACAAAAAAATGTTTTTTTACACGAAAAGCACTCCAGGGTGCAAAGAGAACTAAATTTTATGGATGTCATAATTACTCTGGTGATGACCTATCGTGGTGAAGTTCGAAAATAAGAATGAATCGGGCTATTTTTATTTTATTTTATTTAGAAAGCAGACCACGTGACCATATTTTATATTATTACCCCTCACTTTTTTCGTAATGCTAATTTCCCATAGGCCTCTGGGAGTTATTTTTACTGTTAAATGCAAATGTACCACGTGACTAACAATTTTGTACTGTTACATAGGTTACAGTATTTTTAACAGTATAAAATCTGGTCACGTGGTCTATTTTCTAAATAAAATGAAAGAAAATGGCCGCCATTTTTTTTCTCAATTCATTCTTACTTTGGACGTTAAACCCCGATAGGACATCAATTTCTTCTCAGGAGTAACTATGACACTCATACAATTTAGTTGTTCGCACCCTGGTGTGCTTTTCGCGTATATAATATCTTTTTGTTGAATAGTCAAAAAGTGAACATCCGTTTTCAACGGAAGTACATTTCAATGTAAATAATTATGTGTCAAACTGGAACATGCAGACGATTTAAGCATGCAACAAAGGATTATTTAACAATTTTAATCAGTGAAACGTTACAGATATGGTGGACAGACATAGGATATCATCGTTATTTTGTCAAAAACACATGCTAAGAATAGTCTGGAAACAGAAGGATCAGATTTCACAGATCATAACCGTGTGAATGGGTTAGTGTTTTGTTTTCTAAATAAAACCTAGCTTATTGTATGTTTATGATTTGTAGATATCATCACTTGCTTAAAGAATAAAAGAAAAATAAAACTTCTCAAGTAGGCCTAAAGTACAGTTAAAACTTAAAAGGTAAGGACAGTTTAGTTATTGTTACTCTTGGACTTGGTTTATTTTTGTTACAGTTAGATTTATTTGACAATTTCAGATCATCAAAGTATTTTTGTTCGGGGTAATAAAATAAATAACACATGGGTTTGTGAGTAACAGTAAAAATATCATCCCTCGTAAAAATACTGTTGCCCTCGGCTACGCTAGGGTAACAGTATTTTCCTCGGGATGATATTTTTACTGTTACCCACAAACCCATGTGTTATTTATATACTGTTAAAAAGTACTGTTACCTATCAAACAATACAAATTTCTTAGTCACTTGGTTCACTTGCATTAACAGTAAGAATAACTCCCTATGAGAAATTAACAAGGGGTAATAATATATAAATAAGACAAAGTAAAAAGTAAAAAATATCATCCCGAGGAAAATACTGTCACCCGAGGTAGCCGAGGGTAACAGTTTTTTTACGAGGGATGATATTTTTACTGTTACACACAAACCCATGTGTTATTTTATTACCCCGAAAAAATACTGTGATGACCTGAAATTGTCAACTAAATCTAACTGTAACAAAAATAAACCAAGAGTAACAATAACTAAACTGTTCTTACCTTCTAAGTTTAAAGTGTACTTTAGGCCTACTTGAGAAGTTTTCTTTTTCTTTTATTCGTTAAGCAAGTGATGATATCTACTAGTCATAAACATACAATAAGCTGTGTTTTATTTAGGAAACAAAACACTAACCCATTTTTACGGTTATGAACTGTGACATCTGATCCTTCTGTTTCCAGAATATTCTTCGCATGGTTTTTGACAAAATAACGATGATATCCTATGTCTGTCCACCATATCTGTAACGTTTCACTGATTAAAATTATTAAATAATCCTTTGTTTCATGCTTTAATCGTCTGCATGTTCCAGTTTGACACATAAGTATTTACATTGAAATTACAAATGTACTTCCGTTGAAAACGGATGTTTACTTTTTGACTATTCAACAAAAATATATTTTATACGCGAAAAGCACTCCAGGGTAACTAAATTGTATGGGTGTCATAGATACTCCAGAGAAGATGGTTATGTCGTATAGTGGTGAACTTCGAAAATAAGAATGAATCGAGAAAAAAAATGCTATCATTGTATTTCAATTTATTTAGAAAATAGACCACGTGACCAGGTTTTATACTGTTAAAAAAATTACTGTGCCTATGCAACAGTACACAATTCATAGTCACGTGGTACACTTGCATTAACAGTAAGAATAACTCCCATAGGCTTATGGGAAATTAACATTACAAAAAAAGTGAGGAGAATAATAAAATTTGACATTTGCCTAATGAGGGGAAAAGTTATTGTATAGCGAGAACAACAGAAATGTAGTAATCAAAATGGGAAAAAAACTATTTATAAAATACATGAAAATTAGTAAAACTTTAACTTAAGTTTATCTAAAAATAAATAAAGATGATACGAACATCAACCATCAGTAGTAAATAAAACAAAATATGAAAAAAGTTTTAATCATTAACTGAGAGAAAAAAGGTATGTCAATGCTCCAAACAATATAAAATGCAAAACATGTTGAATTTAGAATAAACCTTTTTACACAGAATGGAAACTGAAATTTAATATTAAAGATACATGTTCAAAACGTCCTATTGAAGTATGAGGTCATCCTTGACAATGAGCAAATACCTGCAAATAACTGTTAACTGGCGGTTATAAACTGTAAATGTGAAATAATATAAATTCACAAAGAAGTATATATACATATCGATGGTATTTACCATTATATGCTGGTTAAGGTTTTCCATACTATGTATATGAACACATAATGATACGTGCAATTAATACCTATGAATCAAATGTTTCTAACGTTCATCGAATGTTTCTTTACCATACATATCCAGTTTGAGTATAACTGTTCCTTTTTCAAATTAAGCAAATACATGTAGCATTGAAAGGTGGTTTTAAACTTTAAAATGAAAACAAAGATCAACAAAACATGACGACTCCTACAGAACGCAACGCCCGAAACAACCTAGCCACATCAGCAGGGCACCAAGAAGGCATCGAACTAAAAACAAACGGTAGAGGTCACAAAAGAGCGACAGGAAGGGAGACTTAATAAACAGGTAAAAAATGTGCCACATGTTTCACGTATGTTTGGCACACCATATCTTTTACATATGTAGACTAACATAATTATGTCATTTGGTATGCCTTAAAGAAATTAATTGGGTCAGAGCCTCTTCTAAAAAAACGTTTGGTACTTTTAAGAAAATAGAATAAAAATTAATATGACATCTCCATAGAATGCCTGTTAACTAATACCCAGTCCTTAGAGAGTTTGTGAACAACAAATGAATTGTAAAATTATATCTGAATGACAATGATAGAAACTTAGTAAAATAATTAGGTAATTTATGATAGCAATTACGTCTTCATATTGATCATATTAAGGCAACATGAATATGTTTGCACGTATTTTCATCACAATTGAAAATGATGTATTATCCGATCCAAAAAAAAAACATTTTGGGTTGTCTTAACACATTTATAATACACATTGTACCTGCACAAATCTTGTTCGTTGCTGAAGTAATGATATATCTAAAAATTAGTTCCTGAAATGTTATAACGAATTGCAAAGCAAAAGTATATAATAGGCATATTCGTCCTGTAAAGTGTGTTTAAAAGTATTAGAGGCAGTACTTAAATATAAGGAATATAATAGGACGGGTACATTATTCAAAGTAATATCATATTTTTCGGTCGGAATGATTGGTCTTATGTATACACATCATATTTGCATGAAAAACTTCTTTCAATGCAGCAGTTGCATGAACATGCATGATAACAAGCATCATTAGAGAGCCACTGACCGTTTTTACTTATGTACATAAAAAATCAAAATCTATTGTTTTCTTATCACCTGATTCAAAAAAGCATTGCAGAGAGATTTCGGTCTCCCCGAAACGCATTTCAAGCGTAAGATGTTGCCGCGGTTTATCAAGATATAAAGTACCGACTCGAAAACAACTGTCATTAACGACATACGTTGGACATTTTTCTGTAGATGCATATATTCCAATTCCTTCTGTAACATCAAATGTATCTGAAACAACGTGTTCTTGGACAACTGTACCAACGGGAACCATTTCACCAGCTCGTACAAATGGAAGAAAATGATATCTGCATTTGTATATGCCATTTTCAAAAACTTTGTATTTCTCTGGGTCTGTGCCATCAACAAAAGGATTAATAACCTCCGTTCCGTAAGTATACTTGCTTATTCTTGATTTCATAACCGAAGGATTATGGCCAAACAGTACTGCCCCTTTTAAAACGGCTAAGCCAGGTTCACTAGGTACGATGATTCTTTTGTTTTGAAATGCTTCTCTCACGCTCTCCTGAACTATGTCCGATTCAGAAAATCCTCCAACAAGTAATAACGTATCGATTTCTCTGAATTCGTTCTCTTCTAAAATCTTTGTAACATGTTTCCTTGTATTTGTGATCGAATCTGAAAAGAATTTCTTCATTGTATTTGCATCAACATGTATTTTATCCCGCTTTATTTGGACAGATGATCCTAGATGTCCTGGCAATATGTGATTAGCAAGAGATTTGCTGCATTTTTCTTTGTATGTTTCGGAAAGGGAAGCTGCAAACCTGATAACTATGTTGCCTTCTTTCTTTTTATTTATAGTTCTCTTTTTAATTTCAAATTCTCTCAGCATTTCAAGGAAATCGGCTGTGTTGTTTTCTCTGAATGCTTGAAAGACTTCATTGCCAAACACATTTTGGAGAAATCTTAAATATGCTTCATCAACTTGAGTACCACCCCACGCACCGCCACTTGCACGAGCGATCTCACTTAGCTTTCCATCATACTCTAGGTGATGAACAGTCACATCAACAGTGCCACCTGAAAAAAAAAGATTTCTTTATTAATGTTTTATTATATTTTTCATTTTTACAACTTTATTATTATTATTATTATTATCATTATTATTGAAATAATGTGTGTCACATACTAGAGATTTGCCTATTTATCTTTTCCTTTCCTTCTTATTTTTGACATCAGTATGTGTATTTCGAAGCATGACATATATAACAAATATATGTCTTAGCAACTTACCGCCAAGGTCAAGGACAATGTAACTTGTTCCTGGTTTAAAAGCCTCAGTAGATGTCGAATTGTTATGTTTCAGGCAGTCAACTGGAAGGAGCTTGCAAAACATGGAGGCAGCTTCAGGTTCAAGTGCTAAGGACAAACAATCTGACTGTATACCAGCCTGAAATGAAATGAAATATCTACATTTATTTATTTATCATGACTGACGAACACTCGATTTTAGGTAAATCTATAAATTTATAACTGTTACTTTCCGACACCAATAACATACAATAATGATAACGCATATGCAGTTATCATAAGGTAACCAATCAAACGTATACAGTTAAACCAGTTATAAAAACAATTTATAAATGGATTTAAGAGATAATACAAACAAAATGAGCACCATTTTAGATGACGTGTGTAAACAATCTACAAGCCCGTAAGATTCTAAGACATATATACCTCCAATGCAGCCTCCCTCATAAACTTTTTGGCTGCATCTGTCCATATTGCAGGTACAGTTAACACCCAAAATATATCCTGCTCTTCAAATTCTGTCATTTTCTTAGAAATTTCATTGCAGAGATGGTCTTTCAGAAATTTTATCGCAGACGAGAACACATGTAGAGCTGACAATGCCTTCTTGTTTTCGTCATACAACAATGTCTTTCTGGACAAGGTCTGATTTTAATGAAATTATAAACACAATTTATGTTCCAGTTTTTACCATAATTATACTTTAAATACGAAAAAAATGCCATGGCATTGAAAACAGATTCCTTCAACTTGGCATGATGAAAAGAAAGTATAAAATTTCGCCAATGTTTTAATGTGTTGTTTTTTCTTATTCATTTTCATATAAAATTAAAAAAGAACATATAGTACTCAGAATTAGATTAATAAAGAAGTGTATAGTGAATTATTAAAGATTACTTTTTTCTGATGTAGAATCATTTTAAACCTCCTAAAGTAATACCAATCTTTATGAATGTCTTCTTCAGCAAGATCAGCGTATTTATCTTCTGCTTGGTATCCAAATGAATGAAAACCTTTTTCAGGTGTAAAGAGAATTGTTGTCGGGGCCTGGAATTGCATTCAAAAGATTTGTAGACAACTTTGATAACGCATGAGTTTAATTTTCAAATGTTTCAATGATAATGTTTATCTTCACGTTATTGCCATAAGGTATTGTCTTTTAACCACAAAGATTTTATATCACATCCTCGCGCAGCTTATTCGATGTAGAATGTAATAAAAAATATCTCATGTATACATATATTTATTAATATCATTATTACTACTATTAAATATATTTTTCATTGACTTTATAAGAGTAAGTGATGATGGTATTTACCTTAAGTGACATGTGTCCTCCACCAATCCAATGGTTTGCTTGTATTTTCATTGGGTCTTTTTCATAGTCATGTGCAAAGGAGAATGCATATCCTGAATATGTTGTCCCAAAGTCTATAGCACCAACAACTAACTTTGTCGATGTCATTATGCATAAACTCTATAAACCAATGAAAATCAAATAGACTGATTTTTCTTATCTACATTGACTTTGAATTGTCAAAACCTTTTACTCCATGTAACTGGTAGCATAGTTGTATCTCAGTAAAAATCTTATTAGAGTACCTGAATGGAAAGAATGATTTTTGTGAATTTTACGATGGATGAATCGAGTTGCGCACATGCAAAAACCAACACTAAATATATATATAAGAAAGAATAGATTAATATTTTGTTAAGAAACACTATATTTTGTTTGATTTGATTGGTCCAAAATTTACTCTATAACTAAGTTGAAAGAATGCCCTTAAAATAGTTTCAGAACTTGCATTCCGTAAACATACCATTATAAAATCACTGTTTTCAGTATTGCAATTTAACATTTTAGCCACTAATAAAGTATTGTCAAAAAGTGGCTGTTCAAAGTCTCGGAGTGGTATTGTTATACTTCCGCTCTGTGCTATGATTCTTTGGAAAAGTCCCTGATTTTCAGGAAACAGCCCATGTTGAGTTACTGACATTGCACCTGCCGACTCCCCAGCTATAGTCACCCTTTCATTATCTCCACCAAAAGATTCAATATGAGCATTGACCCACTTAAATGCTAAATGCTGATCCCAAAGACCAAAATTTCCGGGCGCGTTCTCATCATCTGTAGTTAAAAAGCCGAACATACCTAGCCTGTAATTTATAGTAACCACAATTTATATTACCAGATAATGCCATGTTACCACCGTCATAAAACTCTTCCTGCCCCTTCAGTAAATCCACCACCATGTATCCATATCATTACAGCATTCCCAGACGGTCTGTCTGCAGGACGTACCGGTATATAAATGTTAAGAAATAAACAATCTTCACTTGTTTCGCGAGAAGAAATATTAAAGATAACGGCATTTTGTGGACACACGGCACCATGGTTCTGCGCATAAAATGGAGACTTCAAGCTTTTCAGCTCGACTGGTTTCTTAAACCTTAAATCTCCGGTAGGTGGCTGGGCAAACGGAACTCCTAGATATTCATGCACTTCTCTGTATATCACTTCTTTTTGCAACTTTTTTATTTCTTCCAAAGGTTTATTAACTTTTCTTCCTATAATTTCACCTATACTCGTTAACACTTTAGGATCTTGTGCCTCTGCAATAAGCATGAAAGATAATAAAAATATCCAGTTTACATATGTTTGCACCATTTTAAAAGTTGTTAAGCCTATGTGACCTAAAGTTTAACTGCAGACTACAAATGGTTTATTCGCCGGTACCCTGTACTATAGATTATAAAATAATGTGCACTGAACCAAAGAATTTTCAATTCAACAATGTTGAAGGTCATGCTTGATAACATTTGTATGTATTTTAAACAATCATATGGTGCGTTTAAGATAACTATTAAGTGACGCAGTGGTCAAGTCCACTATAATGGTGTAAAACAATTATCATATTGTGTTTTAAAAATATCTTAAGTCAAGCAGGCTTGCCATACAAATTTAAATATCCACAAATTTACCAACTGTCGGTGTAACGCAGTAGTTAAAGTTGTGTGGTAAATTTTTAGCTACATATCAATGCAAGACAGCCGGTTTCGGGCCTAAAAAATTCTGTATTTTGGGTGTTAACTGTACCTGCAATATGGACAGATGCAGCCAAAAAGTTTATGAGGGAGGCTGCATTGGAGGTATATATGTCTTAGAATCTTACGGGCTTGTAGATTGTTTACACACGTCATCTAAAATGGTGCTCATTTTGTTTGTATTATCTCTTAAATCCATTTATAAATTGTTTTTATAACTGGTTTAACTGTATACGTTTGATTGGTTACCTTATGATAACTGCATATGCGTTATCATTATTGTATGTAATTGGTGTCGGAAGTAACAGTTATAAATTTATAGATTTACCTAAATCGAGTGTTCGTCAGTCATGATAAATAAATAAATGTAGATATTTCATTTCATTTCAGGCTGGTATACAGTCAGATTGTTTGTCCTTAGCACTTGAACCTGAAGCTGCCTCCATGTTTTGCAAGCTCCTTCCAGTTGACTGCCTGAAACATAACAATTCGACATCTACTGAGGCTTTTAAACCAGGAACAAGTTACATTGTCCTTGACCTTGGCGGTAAGTTGCTAAGACATATATTTGTTATATATGTCATGCTTCGAATACACATACTGATGTCAAAATAAGAAGGAAAGGAAAAGATAAATAGGCAAATCTCTAGTATGTGACACACATTATTTCAATAATAATGATAATAATAATAATAATAATAAAGTTGTAAAAATGAAAAATATAATAAAACATTAATAAAGAAATCTTTTTTTTCAGGTGGCACTGTTGATGTGACTGTTCATCACCTAGAGTATGATGGAAAGCTAAGTGAGATCGCTCGTGCAAGTGGCGGTGCGTGGGGTGGTACTCAAGTTGATGAAGCATATTTAAGATTTCTCCAAAATGTGTTTGGCAATGAAGTCTTTCAAGCATTCAGAGAAAACAACACAGCCGATTTCCTTGAAATGCTGAGAGAATTTGAAACAAAAAAGAGAACTATAAATAAAAAGAAAGAAGGCAACATAGTTATCAGGTTTGCAGCTTCCCTTTCCGAAACATACAAAGAAAAATGCAGCAAATCTCTTGCTAATCACATATTGCCAGGACATCTAGGATCATCTGTCCAAATAAAGCGGGATAAAATACATGTTGATGCAAATACAATGAAGAAATTCTTTTCAGATTCGATCACAAATACAAGGAAACATGTTACTAAGATTTTAGAAGAGAACGAATTCAGAGAAATCGATACGTTATTACTTGTTGGAGGATTTTCTGAATCGGACATAGTTCAGGAGAGCGTGAGAGAAGCATTTCAAAACAAAAGAATCATCGTACCTAGTGAACCTGGCTTAGCCGTTTTAAAAGGGGCAGTACTGTTTGGCCATAATCCTTCGGTTATGAAATCAAGAATAAGCAAGTATACTTACGGAACGGAGAATATTCCTCCTTTTGTTGATGGCACAGACCCAGAGAAATACAAAGTTTTTGAAAATGGCATATACAAATGCAGATATCATTTTCTTCCATTTGTACGAGCTGGTGAAATGGTTCCCGTTGGTACAGTTGTCCAAGAACACGTTGTTTCAGATACATTTGATGTTACAGAAGGAATTGGAATATATGCATCTACAGAAAAATGTCCAACGTATGTCGTTAATGACAGTTGTTTTCGAGTCGGTACTTTATATCTTGATAAACCGCGGCAACATCTTACGCTTGAAATGCGTTTCGGGGAGACCGAAATCTCTCTGCAATGCTTTTTTGAATCAGGTGATAAGAAAACAATAGATTTTGATTTTTTATGTACATAAGTAAAAACGGTCAGTGGCTCTCTAATGATGCTTGTTATAACGCATGTTTATGCAACTGCTGCATTGAAAGAAGTTTTTCATGCAAATATGATGTGTATACATAAGACCAAGCATTCCGACTGAAGAATATGATATTACTTCGAATAAGGTACCCATCCTATTATATTCTTTATATTTAAGTACTGCCACCAATATTTTTAAACACACTTTACAGAACGAATATGCCTTTTGCATTCGTTTGCTTTGCAATTCGTTACAACATTTCAGGAACTAATTATATATCTATCATTACTTGAGCAACGAACTAGATTTGTGCAGGTACAATGTGTATTATAAATGTGTTAAGACAACCCAAAATGTTTTTTTTTTGGATCGGATAATACATCATTTTCAATTGTGATGAAAATACGTGCAAACATATTCATGTTGCCTTAATATGATCAATATGAAGACGTAATTGCTATCATAAATTACCTAATTATTTTACTAAGTTTCTATCATTGTCATTCAGATATAATTTTACAATTCATTTGTTGTTCACAAACTCTCTAAGGACTGGGTATTAGTTAACAGGCATTCTATGGAGATGTCATATTAATTTTTATTCTATCTTCTTAAAAGTACCAAACGTTTTTTTAGAAGAAGCTCTGACCCAATTAATTTCTTTAAGGCATACAAATGACATAATTATGTTAGTCTACATATGTAAAAGAATATGGTGTGCCAAACATACGTGAAACATGTGGCACATTTTTTACCTGTTTATTAAGTCTCCCTTCCTGTCGCTCTTTTGTGACCTCTACCGTTTGTTTTTAGTTCGATGCCTTCTTGGTGCCCTGCTGATGTGGCTGGGTTGTTTCGGGCGTTGCGTTCTGAAGCGTTGTCATGTTTTGTTGATCTTTTTCTCATTTTAAAGTGTAAAACCACCTTTCAATGTTTAATGTATTTGCTTAATTTGAAAAAAGGAACAGTTATACTCAAACTGGATATTTCTGGTAAAGAAACGTTCGATGAACGTAAGAAACATTTGATTCATAGGTATTAATTGCACGTATCATTATGTGTTCATATACATAGTATGGAAAAAACCTTAACCAGCATATAATGGTAAATACCATCGATATGTATATATACTTCTTTGTGAATTTATATTATTTCACATTTACAGTTTATAAACCGCCAGTTAACAGTTATTTGCAGGTATTTGCTCATTGTCAAGGATGACCTCATACTTCAATAGGACGTTTTGAACATGTATCTTTAATATTAAATTTCAGTTTCCATTCTGTGTAAAAAGGTTATTCTAAATTCAACATGTTTTGCATTTTATATTGTTTGGAGCATTGACATACCTTTTTTCTCTCAGTTAATGATTAAAACTTTTTTCATATTTTGTTTTATTTACTACTGATCGTTGATGTTCGTATCATCTTTATTTATTTTTAGATAAACTTAAGTTAAAGTTTTACTAATTTTCATGTATTTTATAAATAGTTTTTTTCCCATTTTGATTACTACATTTCTGTTGTTCTCGCTATACAATAACTTTTCCCCTCATTAGGCAAATGTCAAATTTTATTATTCTCCTCACTTTTTTTGTAATGTTAATTTCCCATAAGCCTATGGGAGTTATTCTTACTGTTAATGCAAGTGTACCACGTGACTATGAATTGTGTACTGTTGCATAGGCACAGTAATTTTTTAACAGTATAAAACCTGGTCACGTGGTCTATTTTCTAAATAAATTGAAATACAATGATAGCATTTTTTTTTCTCGATTCATTCTTATTTTCGAAGTTCACCACTATACGACATAACCATCTTCTCTGGAGTATCTATGACACCCATACAATTTAGTTACCCTGGAGTGCTTTTCGCGTATAAAATATATTTTTGTTGAATAGTCAAAAAAGTAAACATCCGTTTTCAACGGAAGTACATTTGTAATTTCAATGTAAATACTTATGTGTCAAACTGGAACATGCAGACGATTAAAGCATGAAACAAAGGATTATTTAATAATTTTAATCAGTGAAACGTTACAGATATGGTGGACAGACATAGGATATCATCGTTATTTTGTCAAAAACCATGCGAAGAATATTCTGGAAACAGAAGGATCAGATGTCACAGTTCATAACCGTAAAATGGGTTAGTGTTTTGTTTCCTAAATAAAACACAGCTTATTGTATGTTTATGACTAGTAGATATCATCACTTGCTTAAAGAATAAAAGAAAAATAAAACTTCTCAAGTAGGCCTAAAGTACACTTTAAACTTAGAAGGTAAGAACAGTTTAGTTATTGTTACTCTTGGTTTATTTTTGTTACAGTTAGATTTAGTTGACAATTTCAGGTCATCACAGTATTTTTTCGGGGTAATAAAATAACACATGGGTTTGTGTGTAACAGTAAAAATATCATCCCTCGTAAAAAAACTGTTACCCTCGGCTACCTCGGGTGACAGTATTTTCCTCGGGATGATATTTTTACTTTTTACTTTGTCTTATTTATATATTATTACCCCTTGTTAATTTCTCATAGGGAGTTATTCTTACTGTTAATGCAAGTGAACCAAGTGACTAAGAAATTTGTATTGTTTGATAGGTAACAGTACTTTTTAACAGTATATAAATAACACATGGGTTTGTGGGTAACAGTAAAAATATCATCCCGAGGAAAATACTGTTACCCTAGCGTAGCCGAGGGCAACAGTATTTTTACGAGGGATGATATTTTTACTGTTACTCACAAACCCATGTGTTATTTATTTTATTACCCCGAACAAAAATACTTTGATGATCTGAAATTGTCAAATAAATCTAACTGTAACAAAAATAAACCAAGTCCAAGAGTAACAATAACTAAACTGTCCTTACCTTTTAAGTTTTAACTGTACTTTAGGCCTACTTGAGAAGTTTTATTTTTCTTTTATTCTTTAAGCAAGTGATGATATCTACAAATCATAAACATACAATAAGCTAGGTTTTATTTAGAAAACAAAACACTAACCCATTCACACGGTTATGATCTGTGAAATCTGATCCTTCTGTTTCCAGACTATTCTTAGCATGTGTTTTTGACAAAATAACGATGATATCCTATGTCTGTCCACCATATCTGTAACGTTTCACTGATTAAAATTGTTAAATAATCCTTTGTTGCATGCTTAAATCGTCTGCATGTTCCAGTTTGACACATAATTATTTACATTGAAATGTACTTCCGTTGAAAACGGATGTTCACTTTTTGACTATTCAACAAAAAGATATTATATACGCGAAAAGCACACCAGGGTGCGAACAACTAAATTGTATGAGTGTCATAGTTACTCCTGAGAAGAAATTGATGTCCTATCGGGGTTTAACGTCCAAAGTAAGAATGAATTGAGAAAAAAAATGGCGGCCATTTTCTTTCATTTTATTTAGAAAATAGACCACGTGACCAGATTTTATACTGTTAAAAATACTGTAACCTATGTAACAGTACAAAATTGTTAGTCACGTGGTACATTTGCATTTAACAGTAAAAATAACTCCCAGAGGCCTAGTCAAAATATACTGACGTGCCAAAGCTTGATTCTGAGATATTTTCGTTCTGGGGCAGAATCTCGCTTTAACGTCAAAACCAAAAGGAGACCTTTCTGTGGTGAAACGTGAATTTAGGTTAAATTGTTAAAATGCATGGGATTCAAATTAATAATGTGTTCATCAAATTAATAATAAGTCACTTACGGCAAAAATAATGTCAGTGTGTTGAGTTTGAAAAAGGTTTAACACTTTAGTTTCATTTTACCGTCTCATTTGTTTACACGCTACGCCATATTGTTATGCCGCTACTGTAGTGTAATGTGCACGTTTAAAATACACATTTATGGGTTCCGTACTTACCGTACCGTACCGTACGCACCGTACAGAAACTGGTAAAGATGTAAAGGCCGTTTTAAACAAAACTCGTTTAGAATGTGTAAAATTAAGGGTAAAAAAGTAGAAATAAAACAGTAATATATCTCACAAATTTATTTTCTCATATAATAATAGAAGATTGTCAAAATATTATAAATTTATTAATATTTTGATATAAAATAAAGCAGGACATAAAACTAATAACAAATCATGATAACATGTGTTTCAAGCTATAATATAAAGAAAACTATCCGTTGTGCTTGAAAATATGCATTAAGATCCAGTGCTTAAATCATGTGCATTATACGGATAGTTTTATATAATGACTGGAAGTATTATACATGAGATGTAGCTTAAATTTGAAAAGTAATCACCATATCGATAGCTATATCAAAATTGTTGTGTATAATTTGCTACTTACGCATACATTCATTTATTTTCAAATAATTAACTAAAGCATAAATGAATATAATAGATTTGTAAGATAAATTGTCATTCACTTTGCCTTGACAATACATGTTTACTAGTGTTTCTTTTTCAGACAGCCACTCGTTTTGCTTTGTCAAGCTTTTTTGATAAAGCCCTAACTCGGGCTAAAAACTTTGCCTTGTTGATTATTATGCAGCTAGATAAAGATGGAAAAGATTTGTGGTATCGGCCACTTATTTGTTGCGTTAATTTCTCACTTTTCAAAACATCAGTGCAAAATATAATGTCTTCTTTCCTTTGATCAGTTGAACGTCTTTCTGGTTTTGGTCCTTCTCCCTCCACCATTTCTCCATAAATTACCTGCAACGCTTTTCCGACTCCACCTGCCAGCTTACCGTGTCTTTCTAATGTATGGGGTGTTGTCTTAGACCCAACAGATCTAATACTTTCTGGAAAAAAATAGTCCGATATAGCTTAAAGTATTATAAGCTCATGAACTAAAACTTGTACGGTTTTATTACCCTTTATTTTATAAGGGAAACAGTTTGGCGTTTCACAAACTGATTATAGTTTGAGGATTGCATTTTATCAAGTTTTATATAAACTTAAAAGTATTATTAATAATACATAAAATTCTTATTTTGTATTTATGTCGCAATTTTATGTGATACATTTGATAATAACTCTTTAATAACTCTTTAAATGACCTTTGAACTCCCTATTCAAGAATTCATTGACCAGATCTGTTTCGTCGTTTTTTCCTCGGCCTCCACGTATATTAACTGTTCTATTCCATATCAAGTCCTGGCGCAATCTTTCCGGTAGGAATCCATTCAATGCTAAAGAAATATAATTTTATTGTTAGTTGTTAACTCATTATCATTGTCGTCGTTATAATTTACACATAACAGTATGTTCTGCATGCAAGAATGGTAATCATTTTAGTGTTAAAAGCATATTATCTTTTTTAAATACATACATGGTATTAATCTATGGCCAAGTATGAAGTATTTAGGATAATTGCGGTGAAAGCAATTGATCATATCTAACTTCCAGTACAGTGTCATCTTTTCTCCATCATTGTATCGGACAGCCTCTCGTTGAGCCATATCATTAAAGCCACCCCATAGTAACATTTTTGTGTATTCAAATTTTCTATCCACTTTTGCCCCTGACACCTGGAAACGGTCTGTTTTTTTGCATGCTGCACATCAATACCATAATTCTTCTGAAAAAGAGTACTATGTACATAATGAAATGAAACTGATACAAATAAATATTTGAATTACCTAGACAGTTCTAGCTAGATTCGAGATATGTTTTGAAAGTAATTAGTTTAAATATTTATTTTTTAACAAACAGAATAATAAGGTACGTCAAATTAATTTCATTGCTTGGCAAATTCAATTTAAATATGTAAATATAATAGAATTTATCTTATATAAAACAATGCCTTCTAACAGTTAATCTTCTGTGGCAATATTTAAACACAAAGCATGGAACCATTGGCCCCTTTTGCATGGTGGATTACAACATTCAACCATGATAGTTTCATCCTTCAAGTTCTTTTACACAAACAGAACTGTTCCTCCATCTGTAATTACAAAAGTGCAAACAAGTTCAATTATGCATACATACTATAAAATCATCCAATTTGTTATGTAAATTTGAAAGTAAAGACCCTTTTCCTGTAAAAGAATAATAACTTTTAAATGTTAACATGTTTGATAGATTATATTTTTTGTTTAGATCATTACCTTTTTACATTTATCAGAACAGAACCCTACATCGGGTAATTTGTTTTCATCAACACCCACAAAATCTGTTTGGAACCAGCTCCCATTTTCACATTCGTTGAAGTCGCATTTTATAATTACCACATCTTCTTCTTCTAAATCTTTACCAGAAAATGCTTATGATTACTACTGAATACAGCAAACTATATCAATGGAAAAAACTAAACATGTATATCACACGTGCTTCTTTTTTATAGAATGGAAAAAACAATTAAATATTGTAACCATCACTTTGTTTACAAAAACAATAACTTTACGATTCTTTTGCCACCATATCAATTTCTCTCCACACTTTATCAACGATTTTCTCCGATACGAAGTTGAGAATCTCTTCTTTGTCATCATTTTGTATATCCTCATTCATGTCTTCCATGTGTAAGATATCCATGGCGAATAGAATGACATAGCCTTCTGTGGTAAACTTTAAGAAATCTGACACGTAATTAAAAGATTCGGAGACATTCTTTGTAACTGAACGTTGATTGAAAACGTTTCTGAGGTGGAAAAGTGTCCCTTTATCCATAGCACTCCTTCCATCAAAAAGTTTGTCCATGAGATCCTATGATTATATGAATAAAAGTATTATTAACATTCCATTCGTTTAACAATAATGAATCAGTGTAAAATTACATGATAATGTAAAATATTGACGATTTTTTCATTTATTGAAATGAAAAAAATAAAAAAGTTACCATCGGGATTACGACAAAAACTAAAACACATTTTTAAGCAACATTCAATGTTGAGATACTAGCTATGGATTTGAATAATAACCTATAAATTTAACATTTTAAATGATTATCTACCTGCATTAAAATCATCCTTTTATGAAACTCTTGAGCAGCCGGCTCCAATCCTTGCAACTTTGTAATAGGTTCTTCAGCATTTGCTTTTGCATTTTGAGCATCTACATGTCTTTCACACGATATACCGTCGTATGAGTTTCAATAGTTTACCGTTTACATCTCTTGGAACATACTTATGAAGTAACTCGATTATTCTTTATGACACCTGAGGTACTTGACGGGTTTTCATCTATTACACCAATATTAAACTGAAAAGAAAAAAGCAAACATATATTGTATATTGTATTCAAAATAACGAAATAGGATTTTCAGTGCCAAATGTTATTGTTTTAATCTTCTTAGTAAAACATAAATACTGAAAAAATGTTATTATGTTTGCAAAATCAGTGTGTAAATTATGTATTTAAGAGAAAATACCATTTCACTCTTTTGGCAACTTTCAGTGTCGAAGTAGTGTGGAAAATATTCAGCAGGAATGTGAGCGACTGACTGAAATGTATCCATGTATTTCACAATAATTCGTTGCACTATATTGATAAGCCTTTCTCTAACCAAAGGATTGTCTCTTTCATTTGGCAAAAACACATCCATTGGTATACATTCGGCAGCAACTGTTGATTCGTTCTTGAAATCAACGGTCGGGATTCTGTTCTTGACAACAAAAGCAAGTGCCCAACTTTTGTATTTGTTTCCGTGGTTCCTAGTTTGTCTTCGGGCTTTAATTTGCTTGCCAACATTATCCCAGCATAGTGTGTAACCTGTGCGGGTAAATATTATTGAATTAATCAAACAACTACGTTAAGTAAGACATATCATCTGTAATAATTGAATAGCTGTTCAAAGTTATATTGCACTATTCATAAAAATAATTAAGTGTACATGTATAATTCATATAATGACTTTCATCGTTGAAGTGTAAGCTATGTGAAGTGTTCTAATATTTATGTTTAAATATTATGAAACGCAAATATAAATTACCGCATGGGACAGATGGGTCACCATATGGAATAGTTACATCTAATTCATTCCCACTTTCCTCCCATTCAACGTCATCCCAATCATTTAAATCGGTTTCGGAACTCTCAGAAGACTCGTCTTGTGCTGATGATGTGATTTGCGAGGTGCTACTACTCATACTACTACTTCTACTACTGTCATATCTTTCTGACAGAAATTCTGCCATACCAACATCATTATCATCATCTGCAGCTGTATCAGTATTTGGAAACACGTAATTCTAAAAATATACAGATAAGAATATGATTATTAAATGAAATTAATTATATGATTAAGCTAAAGGTGGAGGTTAATCATAAATTTATCACATAAAACTCTTTAAGGCTCAAACAGAGAGAAGACGCACCTATCAGCAGATAATGATCATATTTTAGAGTAAGAAATGTTGAATTATATCTGAAAAATCAGTTTAAACGGGGAGGTAGCGGATAGCGTGTGTGATATTATATTATATAATATATAGAGGATATTCGATCAAGGTTTATTCTATAAATACCGTATCAATTTTCATCAAGTGGTATGAAAATGCATATATGATAATCTTCATACCCGATATGAAAATACATGTAAATCCTGTATTTGTAGGAAAAAATATATATACATATTTCATTGCTTCGAATACACACTAATTAATGTTAACTGTGATAGCCTGCATATACTTTCATTATTTATTTGATATTGGTTTATTATAACTAGTATTTAACAAATGTCCTGGCATAACTCCTTCCCGCAGATTCAATTATCGTCTGCACGTGCTATGTGGTTTGAATGATTTATGCAACCCAGCTCTGTGCATAATTAGTTTAATCCAGCGATTAATTGTTTGTTTAGAAGCGGTCCCATGAGACTTAATGGTTGATATCAGTGTAATTTATTGGTGTTTCTTAGCTCTATCGGTCTATGTAAATACTCATTGATGATTCGGACAATAAACAAACGTTTATCTGGTTTGAAACGGTGTTTTATGTCGGAACAGACCAGATTTCGATGTTTCTTATAAATGAAAAGTATTTATTATCAATATTTCGCCTAAAATAATAATGTCCTCCAAAATAATATGGAGTTTTTGACACCGTTGAGCTGATAAAAATAAAAACAACAGGGTTCATTTTCCGGCAAAAATGATAAAAAATAATAAGATAGTATTAATTTTATGTTTTCTGATAACAAAAAAAATCTCAAACTATATCACTTTGTTCCTCTGAAATGCCGGCCTTTTGTTAAATACATCTTTAATATACCGTGGTACCAAGTTGTTTTCATAGTTTATATTAACAAACCCACAAATTGCCGATCTGGCAATACCAGAATACTTTTTGAATACAGGTGAGATAAAAATGCTATCACTCTTGCTACAATGGATTTAAAGGGATCGTGCATCATGTAACTGTTTACGGCAGTAACAAAAACTCTGCCTAGTTCCGCTAAACAGTTACCACATATACATGAACAGAAATTTCAAAAACTGATATTCTCATATAACGCACTGTTTACTTAACGTAGCGTTCATTCATTAAAGGCGCGCGACAACGACGTCATTTAGCACGCGACTTAACGGTGTTAACGGTAGATAATCCTGTCGGACATGCAAGAAGATATTTAATATGTTATACCTGTAATTCATTTTTCCATTTCATTAATTCCGAGTCGAATGACGACTTCAAATCATCCAATGTTGACAACATTGTTCCTTCACTAACACATATACCTAAACGATTGAAATTGCCAAAAAGCTGAAATGAGAACATGACAATTCCGTACATTTCAATTCACAATGTACATTGATTTACGATTGTGAAAAAATTTCAAAATAAATATAGTTCATGCAGAAATAAAAAAAGAATTAAAATATATGATAACTGATTAATGAAGCCAACCTTTAATATATAATTTTTATGTCTTACCGATCGTTTACACCCACTTCTCCACATTTGTACAGCGTTCATCTTTTGCAGAAGAGACGCCTGCTTTGGGCGGACTTTATACGCAATTGTAGCAAATATATTGCCAATAACTGGTAGAAGGGTTTCAGCTCTGAAAATGAGGAAAAAGGTGTATAATTCATTATATTATATAATGATTACATGCATTTTATCTTCTTCTTTACAAATAGTGATGATGATGATGGTGGTTTTATAAATCCTTCGAGAATATATGTAATTGTGAATACATCTTATTGGAGAATTCACTTTACAGGCTAAAATTTCTATTGTTTTCGAAGTTTCATACTGCGGTCGAAATAACAGAAAAATAAGTATTAAAGAAAAAATTAGTTAATGTTGATTGTTTAAAGTTATACATATCTAAAAATAATATTGTAGTGGTACAAACTTTTCTTTCATGTTTTCTGCTGTTGTCATTGACGAAACAAGAAGGTCATACAAAAGAGGCACTTTTGTTCTGAAAGATTGAACTATTTTCCGGAAGTCTAGATTTCTGAATGCTTCAACGCTTACTTTCTTCATTGTTGGCAAAGAACCCTCCCTTAACAATATCTTCAAATCCGATCTGATTTTCTTTGCAAATACTGCGCATAAGGCCTTGAATGCTGATCCTTTCTTCATATAATATCTAAATCCTTGCTTATATCTGGAGTTTGCAAAATATCTTGGTCCCGTTGAATATGAAACTGTTTTCTTCTACAGATAAAAAACAATAAATAAATGAATATAATATTTTTCATCATCATTTTGTCGATACACAGGCGGTTACTTCTGACATTGTGATACTGTTTATTAATTGATTTATTAATGCTTCTCCTAAGATGTTTCAGTTATTCCTTACAAGTACAAAATTACCTTACATATGATACTTTTGATTACGTAATACTAATTTTTATTAGCCGTTGCATATTATATCAAAACTGATAAAATTCACATACCAGTGGAGTTGTTTTCCGAGAGAAACGAGGTCTTTTGGGTGTCGCACTCTCAACAGTTGATGTTTTCCTTTTTCTTGCTATGTACGAGGACTCATTTGTTTTGTTAAAAAGTTGTAGCTTAGCTTGATGACCTGTGCTAGCAGATTTCAGCAGTTTAGCACAGTCATGACAAATAAATCTGTCATCACTTTTCTCTGCTTTTGGCGTAACTCCTTTTACGTCAAGTACACTTTCTATGTCTTGTGCTGATCTTAAATCCGATACGAAAGGACTCCTTTTAAATCCTTTAATCTTCTTCTCAAACTCAGAATTGCAATTTACGCACTTCATAATTAAACACAATTACTCGTGATATCATTTATGTTTGAAGAGGTGTGAAATTAAGACTGGAACAAATGCGCGCGCATCCAATGTCTGCGGTCTTTGATGTTTTTCGGGCCAGAGATCTGGACAGCGTTTAACCACGAGTTCTCAAAAATAATGGATCTTGATATATTATTTTCGAAAGTAAAAAATGAATTCAACTTAAGTTTTGATTTGAAGACACACCAGAAGACCATCATAAATGCTGTATTAGAGAAAAAAGATGTTTGTGGAATTTTACCAACTGGATATGGGAAAAGTCTCTGTTACATTCTTCCACCTCTTATTCTTAATCACGTAAGTACATTTAGTGTTATTGTATCAACATTTGTGTCCGTCATTTTGTATTAAGAAATGAAAAATTAATAAATTCATCAATTCATGTAATTTATAGAAATAATTATTAGTCTTCATTTCATAAGTAACCAAAATGACTTTTATATATAGAAATAATACTGCGATTATTTATCAATTTATTGGAAGTACTGTGCGCGCGCGTGTATGCGTGCGTGTGTCTGGGTTTTATGGTATATACCCTTTTTTAAATAGCAAATTATTTTTCAATTTATCTTGTCAAAAAATTTAAGTGAATATACGGATAGAAATTATTAACCAATCATTTTTAAATAAGCAAATCTGCATATTCAATGGAAATTCATGCCAAAACATATGTCGGTTGGGTTTAAGAGATAAAACAACAACAGTTTTATAAACGTTAATAATTTTTTCTAAACGCATTTGTTTAATTTGTAGCAAGACGAGACGAAGAAGCATATCTCGTTAGTTGTTTCGCCACTTCTTAGTCTGATGGCCGACCAAAAGGGGCATCTTGACAGGCTTGGAATAAGCAGCGCAATTGTATCGCATGACCACAAGATAGACTTGAAAGGTGAGTACAAAGAGATATCACCCTAAAAGAAACTATTAATTGTCTTCTCGACTCATATAAATTCATTTTCTTTGACAAATTAAAAATGTTCTTTACATTAGTGTGATAAATATGTTTTACAATATCTCTCTCAATTTGATTTTACAGATATCCTGGGCGCTTCTATTATATTCACAACTCCAGAATCACTTCAGACCCCTGCTTTTAGAAAGGTACTATTGAACAAGGATTTCAAGCAGCGTGTGTGTGCTTTTGCATGTGACGAAGCTCATTGTGTGTCACAGTGGTAAGAATATAAATTTATAATGTCATGTTAATTAAATTCGCCATTTCAGCATTATTTTATAGAATGTTTTATGCAATTCAATGTCTCTTTTACTTTACAATCGGAAGCTATTTGAGTTTTTTTCCCTTAAAATTCCAGGGGTGAAAACTTTCGCCCAGAGTACCTTGAGGTGTCTTCTATCAGAAGCATTATAGACGTTTCATTCCTCGCACTTACAGCAACTGCAACACAACAGGTTTTGGATGATATAAGGGGAAAACTTCTGTTAAAGGATGATGCCATTACTGTTGCTATGGTACCAAATAGGTAAGCACGTGCAATTAAATTAACTTTATTGTATAACATAATTCATTTAATTTCGTTTATAAATACGTACTAGTATAAAAAATTGAAACAGTATTTGCAGCAGACGAACTATTGTTTAAGTGTTTGAGTATATGAAATACGAACTCTAACTAAATGAATAAAAAAAAATCATGTATGCGTTTGATTTAAAACTCATAGTCATATATTCACTTGTACACGTTAGATATTGTCCTGATACATTCGACCTAAAATGAAAGATAAATGATTAATACATAAATTTATAAATTGTTGTATAGACCCAATATCTTCATGGCAATAGAAAAAGGTTCCGCGGACATGGAAGAAGAGATCAAGTGGTTCAAGGATTACCTTGAGAGTACCCCTAACTGGAAAAAAACTGTTATATTTTGCAGGTATATTCAATGTTTGATTCCACTTGTTAAACTAACACAAGCAAAATTTATCAACATTTTAAACTATGTTTAAGTCGTGTACGACTGCCAACTGATTTATGTGGAAGCGATTTAGTATTGATTTGTCTCCTACCAATAGGCAACAGCATATACCTTAACAAATAAATATGTTGACATTAAAAGTACTAAGTCATAATAATATTATGAAATTATATAACTTTTTCAGGTCTTACAATGCAGTGTATGCTGTGTGGTCTTACTTAGTTGATACTTTGAGTATTACCCCAGAAGACAACAACAGAACAGCAGAAATGTTCCACAGTGCCTGCGACGATTTAACCAAAGACAGAATCCTGACGGAATTTAAGAAGGATGACAGTAAAATACGAATAATAGTCTCAACTGTGGCATTTGGCATGGGAATTTCTATTCCAGACGTAGATATAGTGATTCATTGGGGAGCACCAAAAAATGCCTTATCGTACTGGCAAGAAGTAGGTCGCGCGGGAAGAAATGGCCAATTGTCACTAGCTGTTGTAAAGGCATACCCCAGGTCACTTATGAAAAATATAACGGAAGAAAGCATGAGAAAAATCGTAGGCAGCGATGTTTGTAGCAGAAAGCAAATATTAAAAAATCTCCTGACAGACGGAATGGATGAAAATGACATACCCCAGGCACAACTGTGTGCAGAAAATAATTGTGACATTTGTGACTGCCAGAAATGTATGTGCTGTAGAATATGTTGGACTGAGTGCGTGTGTAACGGGAAGATGGACTATACCAACCGATTTTTGTATTGTTCATGAAAAAAATAAAAAAAATATTGAAATATGTCTTATGTAAATAAAAAGCGATTCCTGAGTTTAAATAATTGTTTTCCTTTCTAATTGTCCATTTCATAACTAACGAATGGCCCGCAGTAATTATTAATAACGCTTTAATCGCATATTTTTTAAAATAATTCTAAATTTAAATAAGCTTATATACGATACTTTTATATAGAAGAACTCCGCGATAAATGCACCGTCTTTACATTTTCGCTATTGCTATAACTTACATCCTCTGTCATATAGTCACAATTAAAAATAAATAAATATTTGTTTCCAGGACAGCTAATATTATTGTGACATTGCTTACCAGCTATTTTTGTCTTGACCGCATGAACAGATCACGGTATATAACCGTATATCGCAGTAACAGTTACAAGACAGTGCACTTATGTGTATTGGTTTTGTCACGTGACATTAGCGGTAATGCCTGTATTTTGAATATGAATGTGTTTATTTTACTATCAAAATCGTTATTCTTGGACAAATTATTTAAACAAAACGTGGAATTGATGTAGAAATGGATAATCTTTTAAGGTAATGTAAAACTTTATTCAAATATAAAATGTAAATATGACTTTAGACGGTTTAAAGCATGCGCTCAAAATCCCGGCGCAAATTTCACCACAGAAAAGGTACTTTTTATGTTGTACGTAGAGGCGAGATATTGCCCAGACACGAAAATAGCACAATATCTCGTCGCGCAGTACAATTAGTTGGACTACCAGAGGCCTATGGGAAATTAGCATTACGAAAAAAGTGAGGGGTAATAATATAAAATATGGTCACGTGGTCTGCTTTCTAAATAAAATAAAATAAAAATAGCCCGATTCATTCTTATTTTCGAACTTCACCACGATAGGTCATCACCAGAGTAATTATGACATCCATAAAATTTAGTTCTTTGCACCCTGGAGTGCTTTTCGTGTAAAAAAACATTTTTTTGTTGAATAGGCAAAAAGTAAACATCCGTTTTCAAGGGAAGTACATGTATTTGCAATGTGAAAATTATTTATTT